TTTAGGAAATGCAGGTGGCATTTTGTAGCTCTAGGCAGCATAGAAAGCGCTTCATTTAATTTTATTTTCAAAGAAAATAGTTTTTCAAATACAATAAAATGAAATGAAAACTTATGATAATGCTGCCAGCAGTAGCTGTTCTTACATCTAGCTCTTAATTCACAGCCTTGAAGAAGACCTAGCGATGACATGACACCCTTGAACCCCGTGTATCTCACTCAGCATAACAAACATGCAGCTGAAAGATGCCAATCCTACCACCCAAAATAATTTGAATTTATATAAAATACAGTCAAACCCAAAAATTAAAAATATTTTTTAACCGATGTTTTATATAATCACATAGATGTAGCCACAGGTGATATAATCCATGCGTTGAAGTATAAAGAATGCACACAAAACCAGTTACTGCAGAGTCACTGATCTGTTGTAAATTCACACTAAGCTCCTGTGAGGTTTTTTATCTCCATAACCTGAACCTGTCTGCACTTTCTTGTAATGAAGATGACTGCTTCACCATTGGCTCACTTATCACCAAAACCACCCCAAAACCACAGAATATAAACCATCTAATTCAAGTCTTAGGACTTGCATTTAAGATTGCTGTGCAAGCTAACTACAGGTGTAAGAGGCTTTCTTATAATCAACAACATAAAAAAAGTTGTAACCATTAAGTTAATCCCCACACTCACGTTAATACTCTCTCATGTTTACATTCAGCATGGCTTTGTGAAGTCATGGGGAATACAAGTAAGCATTACAATAACATTTGTATAAATTTTTCATTTATCAAACATTTCGCAAACTACAAAGAATGCACATGCTCACTGAACTTTGCTTATGTCAAACACCTGAGAACAGTAAAGAAAATCTTACTCCATTTACTTTTTTTACAGTTTCTTGTTTGTCTTTTCCTTGAAAAGAAAACATAGGAAATTATGCCAGTTCTTAATGTGGCAAGAAATGCAGGAACTAAGATATGGAAGTCCTTAGATTAAAACAGAAAATCATTCTTTTGATATTCTGCTTGTGGAAAGTCTATAGAAAAGGAGCCAGAATTTTCACAAAGAAGTTACAAATAAGTACAGGACTCAATTTCAGATAATTATCTACAATTGACACTTTCATTCTGGCACACCATCTTTATAATATATTCCCTAACCTTTATTGAATTTTTGTTTTATCCTCTCTAAGCATAAGAAAAAATCACCTCAAGAGATCAGCAAGTGAAAATGTTGATAATTGCACTTGGAATGCCTTCTCCCCTCATCTGTCTCTTCTACAAAGAACAATTAGCAAGGCTCTCTACTACAATTACTCTGGGGGAAAAATAATCAACTTACTGCAAGTGGAAAGAAGACAATAAAGGAGCTCTAAATTTCATCTGAATAAAAAACTGATTCTTACTGTGGTTGATCTTTTTCAGGTGGAGATATGTGCTCTTCAAAAGAACCAGAAGTACTACAGGTCTTCGCCTTAAATATTTCTCCTATATCAGTATAGCTGTTAGCAGGTGAAAAGTATTCTGTGTTTTCCCTCGTTCCTATTTTAGGCTTGGAAAGCACTTCCAAGGAGTGACATCGATCCATGACGTTGGATATGCCTTGAGTCTGGCTGTGGGATGTGCCAGACCTGTCTGAGGAGTGGGCTCTTCGGAGGTAGCGGGAATGTGGCCTCTCCTCAGCAGGCTGTGTGGTTCTTCCCCTGCCACTTACTCCAATTTCCTTTCCCTGAATTCCCCACTGTCGGAAAGAACCACTTTCGTCTCCCGATGAATTATTACTGCAATTCTTGTTTGTAGGAAAAAAAGTAATTTTATTTGGGAGGGGCTGTCCAACTAACAGCTTCTTCTTTTCCTTCAAGCTACCACTGGTACTGATGCTGGAAGAGCCCATGAAGGTCGTAGAGATAGTGGCATTTCCACTGTCCATGGAATCTTCTGAGGTTCCCAGATCTCTGCTCCGTGCAGAGCTACCCCTGGACATAAAAGGATGATCCAAGACTGAGGAAAGGCTCAAGCGATCCGCGGGGTTTTTGCGCAGTAACCTGTGAATGAGGTCCTGTGCCTCTCTCGACAAGAAGGCTGGCATTTCATAATCTGCCAGCACCACTTTGTTCAGCGTGTTCCTGACCGTGTCCGTGTCGAAAGGCGGCTTGCCAATGAGCAGAGTGTAAAACATACAGCCCAGAGACCACACGTCGGACTCCAGCCCGTGCGGGCTCCTCGTGGCTATCTCCGGAGAAATGTAATTGGGAGTTCCACACATGGTGTAATGCTTCTCATGAGGCATCTTCAGCTGAGTCGCCAACCCAAAATCAGCAATCTTGACGTTCATGTTGCTGGTGAGTAAGATGTTGGAGAGGGTGAGGTCCCGGTGCAGTATTCCGTGGGAATGGAGGTACAGCATACCCGTGATAATCTGGTGCAGGAAGTGTCGTGCTGTCAAAACAAAACCAGATGTTGCTATGATGAAATCCTAGCTCTGAAGATAACTCAGCTTTAAGTCTGCTATTTGTCTTGCTTCCATTTTTTCTTACAAGGCTGTTTAGGTGTCATACTAGTGAAACTGGAATTAACTTTCTGCTTTCTACTTTAAGCAAAATGGCACAACTTTGCTCTTTATGTAACACAGAAAATAGGAATGGAAATATTTTCAACTGGCCCAAACTTTCTCAAATTGCATTCTTAAGAATTAAAGCTAAGTTGCTCATCACTTTTGGAAACAGATACAAGTTAAACTAATGATGCCTTTATAGCCATACCCCATTAATCCAGTCCTGTGGCCCGAGTCCCAAAAAATCCCCACCTATAGCAGAATCATGGAATTAAATCAGAAACTGATAGAGAAGCAGGTAAGCTGGAAGAACTGAGCGAGAGGTGAGCAGTGAGGTGAGTCCAGAAGCAGTAAAGGCAGAAGTTGCCAGTTTTCCTGTTCTTCTTCTTTCCTCTTCCCAGTCTTGACCCACATTTCAAGAGAATTTTAAATACAAAGGTAAGCTCTACTTTCCATCTGTCTTTGCCTTCTAAGATCACAATCTTTTTATATTCCAAATAGCACAAACAGAAACAAATGTATATAGAAATGCAAGTGAATATATGCATAATAATAATCAATATCTAGATTATCCCTTACCACAAGATTTTAAGGTATAAAAATTATGATGGCAGCTTTAAATACTCTTCCTCTACAATTAAATATTTATTGAGTGAGCCAAAACATTAATGCAAAGGGCTCCACAGACCAAAAAAATCTCACCTTCATCTTCTGAAAAGGGTTTCTTTCTGTTCTTTATATATCTGCTCATTTCGCCATTGTGACATATCTCAAGTATCAAGTACACGTAGTTGCTATCTTCAAAATAGTTATAAAGCTGGGAAAAAAAAAACAAGGAAAAATTAAATTCCATTTTGTAGACCATGCAGCAAGTCACATATACAGCCCTCTCTACAAACCCCATGGTTCTTACCTCGAGTATAGATGGATGCTTTAGCTGACAATGTATTTTCACCTCATTCTGAACTCTCTGTACCATTCCAACTTTGTGCATGGCTTTTTTGTCTATCTGTAAGTGGATCACAGCACAACTTAAGATATTCAGTGCATATTTGCTTAACAATTTTTAAGTACAAGCAAGTTTTCATATAGTTCACCTTAATATACTCTTTTAATGAACAAGTATAATAGATAATTGGAGGAACACCACAACTGAAAGCAGTCAAGCATTAACATTATCAATACTAATACTTATTAATATTTTTTTTCTGAAATACTTAGCAGAGAAACCTAAATCTCATTTTGCTACACATATAGGCTAAATATAGTCAACATTAAGAAGCATTTCTATTAGTTACTAAGTCTATTTGGTTGTGGTGCATCTTTCAGGATCGAGTCGCTATCTTAATGTCCGTTATTTACAAACATTCAACCCAAACATCGGTGCCCAACTGCAGAACCCCAACCTGTTGCAACTTTGCATTCGGTCTCTAGGGAGACAGATACTTCCTTGGCTGCCTTACCATTTTGATGGCCACTTCCAGGCCGGTTTTCAGGGATACTGCTCTGTAGACCCCTGCGAAGGAGCCCTTCCCCAGGAGGTTCCCCACCTTGAAATCCTGCAAGACGAACAAACCGGCCTCGTTAGCCTGGGGCTTTGTCAGTCAGACTTCGCAGCGCCTCTCCCGACGCGGACCCTCCCACCAGCGGCGGGGAGCCCACGCAGCCCCGAGATCCGGGCAAACCCCGAGGCGGCCCGGGGCTACCTGTGGGGAGCTCTCCGGGGCGCGGCGGCGGGGCCCGGCAGGGCCGCACAGCCACCCCCGCCGCATCCTCCTGCCGGCACCGCACTGGCGCTGGCGCTGCCTGGGGCGGCGCGGCCGGGCCGCCTTCCCGCCGCCTCTCCCGCCTCGGCTCCCGGGACGCGGGACACACCCGCCCCCGGCTGCCATGGCAGCGGCCGCGGAGCCGCCGCTCCCCGCAAACACGTGGGGACGGGGCGAAGGCGCGGGAGGAATCGCGCTCCCACCAATACCCGCCGGCAGCGGGACGAGCCCGCGCCCGGCCCCTCCGCGCCCCGCGGCGGGAGGGGCTGCGCGCCGCACCTCTATCCTCTCGCCGATGCAGGTCGCCATGGCGCCGGCCGTTCTCCCTCGGGTCCCGCTACCGGTCGTGCCGAGAGCCTGGGGCGCGGTTAACCCATTAGGGCGCCCCGGGCCGCCCGCCCCGGCGCAGCCCCGCTGGCTCCCGGGCCCGGGGGCGGCCGCTCCGCGCCCCCCCCGCCGACATTTTGAAAAGTCGCGCCGTTACCCCTCGGCCCCGCCCCGCCCCGGGACGAGGCTGCGTCTGACGCAAGTGCGTCACGCAACGGCGCATGGGCGCGCGGCCCCCGCGGCCGGGCTGGGACGAGGAGGAGCAGCGGCGCGTGCGCGGGGCGGGGCGGGGCGGGGCGGGGGCGTGCCCGGGCAGCCGTTAGGGCGCGTGCGCCTTGAGGGGTGCGTGTGGCGCCTCAGGCCGGGATATGCCTGGATGGGGCAGTCCTGGGATGTTGGGGGCTTATCCTGGAGATCGTCTGGTCACAGCGCCCGCTGCCAGGGGTAGGGACACAGCCCGTAGATCAAGTTACCCCACCTGGCTTGGGATTGGAGTTGGTTTGGGCTGGGGGAAAGATTTTTATTTTGATTGGTTTCTGTTTGTTCAGCCTGCCCTCTGAATTATCCCACCTTACATGCGTCTTGCTGGCTCCTTCTGTAGCAGGGGAGTGCTGCCGAAGTTATTTTCACTAGGACAGGCATCCAGGATGCAAGGAGGAGACGGAGTGATTTAGCACTTCAGCTTCTCCAGTGTTTGCCAGCTTGTGGCTGTAAACTCAAATAGTTCCCCCACGACTTGCCAGATTTTATTGTTGAAATAAAATACAGGGGTGCCTTGTGATCAAGCTGCACTTTCTTCATCATGAACTCCTTAATGGGTGTAAAATGGATTGTGGATAAGCATTTGTGTCAATCACTGAGAATCCTTACAGGGAAACCAGGAGCTGTGTGAATTAACAGTCATCGCTGGCTTGAGTAACTAGGGTGGAAGATTATAAAAAAGAGACTTTTAATTTAATTTCAAGGCTAGATTTTTTACCTGAAGAATGATGAAGGTGCATCTCCGCCAGTGAAATGATGCTTTCCTCTGTCTCATTAAAAAGGAACTCGAATCACTCTTCTGTTGCTGGGTTGCATTTATGACTGCAGGGGTCAGCATCTGCTGTAAGCAGAGCTTGTGAGACGAACCAACCATGTAACAAATCCTTTGTTAACATTTTTATCAGAGAGCACAAATACCTAATCTTGTTCTCAAGGCTTAAGCATTGAAAGAAATGCTATCGTAAAGTCTTCTTTAAGGAGTTTTAAGAGAGTAATAGTACTCCCTTAAAATAGGGAGTGCAGGCCTTTCTTCAACTTTATTGCATGACCAAAATGTAAAGATTTTGGACATACTTCATCAAGTGGAGCAGTCTGATTACCAAAAAAAGTAAAAAGGAGCTGAGTAGGAAGGATGATAAAAAGCAAAAGGCAGCATAAAGTTACATTTTACAAATTGTAATACATCGTCATTGGTTGCTCTGCAGCTTTGCTTGCATCTTGGCCACAAGGTTCATGACGCTGGTAGTTTCACTTGTTTCCCATAGGTATATTTCTTTCTTATTGCTGCTTTTCACAGACACAGGGCAGCTTTCTCAGATGTATCTGGTAGTGCCAGTCTAGACAACAGAAGTCGAATCTTGGAAACATCGCTGGTGTGCCTTAGTAGACAATGAATTGTGAGCATGTAATGATCACTCAGTCCTGGCTTCTGTTTGACCACTAGGACCTAAAAAAACAGTTAATACATCAAACATATTTGCTTTGATATGTTAACTTTCTATTCTAAATAATCAAATAAATGGTGCCTTGCCTTCCCCAGCATCTGCTCAAGACATGGCTGTGACAGAGCGTGTGTTTCAGCGGCGCTGGGGCAGCACAGCAGGATGAGCACCCAGCAGTCCTCCGAGCCTGCTGGGGTGTGTCAGCAACGTGAGAGACTCAGTGCAGTTGTTGCCAACTCCTCATGTCAAGAGCAATTTGTTTTTTAAAATTGGACTTTGTAGTTGTACAGTCACGAAACTTCAGTGGGGTATTTTCATGCCTAACACCACTGTTTTAACACACATGTTTTATTTTCCTATTTATCATGACTGCCCTCTGAAAGAGGAGCCTGTTCCAGGTGCTGTTATAAATTGTTTCCTTCCATATTCTTCATTCTGGATGGTAATGCTGGAAAACTTAGGGAAGGAGTGATTTACCCAAACCAAAATTGAATCAAATCCAGGTTATTTTTGCAGTGGGTTTATTGTGTGTTTTTTGTTAATTTACTTTATTAAGGGAAAGTACGTGATCATAGAGACTTGGCTGCTTCTGCCTCTTTTTCACTAAATTGAATTCTGTGTTTCTACAAAGAATATAAAATTTTATCAAATGAGAATTTGCTTTGATTTTGTGCCCACCCACAGAAATGCTCTTGGAGCTCACCTTTCAGCTTTGCTTTCAGAGATGAGAAACCCTGCTCTTGTCATTTAGAATCACCTATCTGATAAAAACTTGAGTGGTGAAAAGCAAAATTTCTGTCAGTAACAATTAATTTCCAGGCACTTGTTTCAGTCTGGTATTTCAGCAGTTTGATCATGAATTTTGAAACATACTTGCTGGATGTTCCCTGTTTACAGTCGTCTGCAGTCTTCGTACCCTGCTTCTTAAGTTAAAGGTAGTAATGTCATAATTGCCATAAGTACATCTTACAGGTGAGCAGAAAAAGGGGTTTCCACTCACATACTTTATCTTAAAAGGCACTGGGCCAAAATTTGTGAGAACAAAATCTCTCTGTCTTGATTATGCTGAAGCTTGGAGTAAAACTCATTAAAACTCATTGGCTCTGACTGTGCTCCATTAGGAGTGTATGGCCTATTCCTTATGTATTATCCACACCTTCACTGTCTGTAAATTTATTTTGAGCTCTAAGTTACAATCTAGCCAAATAATTTAGTGTTCTTCTATGACTCAGAAGATAACAAGGGGAAAAAAAAAAAAAAAAACAAGAAAAAAAAATGCTTATGCAAGGCACATTCCACCTCAGACTTAATCTGAGCTGAATTCAGCCTGGAAAAATGAGAAGACTGCAGCAACAATTTATTGCCAATGCATTTTACTCATGTTAAGTCTTCAGTGTACTATTTCTCTCTCCATCTTGAGCATCACAATATCAGGAGGTGATGCTGGTCTCCAGTTTATCCTCAGGTGGAGGATTTTACCTGTTTGTCTCCTGCTCTGTAAACCTTTTCTCCTGTGTTTCTTTGCCTTTTCTCTTGGCAGCTGAGTGCTATGGTCGCTGGAAATGCAGCCCTGCAGATAGGCATTGGGTGAAGCGTGCACTCAGTGTGGTTTGGTGTCTGATGATTTGCTGGTCTGCTGGTTTTATCCTTGCCCAATGCCAGCATTGTTTCCACCTTCCTAAGAGTTTATTTAGGTGTTGGCTGGAGTTTTCCTTGGTCTCCCTTGATGAGTGTTCAATTGCCAGCAGTGGGTGTAGCTGCCAGTGTTGACAGCTAGTCTTACTTGCAAAGGTGGACTGCTCCCTTAGGCACAATTCCTTTGTTAATGGTGTTTCCAAGCCATATTAAACTATGCAACAGTCATGAGAGCAATTACTGTCTTATACTTTAATCCTTTTTCTAATTAGCATTTGTTCTTATATATGTTTTCAGAACAGTGCTAAGGGATTAGCACTTACCTGTACACTGAGCTCACTGCGAGCACATGAATTTTGTCTGTATTCCACAGAATGCAAAAAGACCTCTGAATGAAAAACAACTGGAGTTTGAACTGTATTGCCTCCATACAGGAAGACACAGTGAGAAACAGTTTTTATATTAAATAAATGGAGCATTCATATCTCAACAGTCTTTTAGAGTTAAAAAGCACCACATCTTATTGAGTACAGATCTTCTTTTAAGACATCCTGGGTAAAAAGATTGAGTTAATCTGCCTTGGTAGAACTGTTTATTCCTTCTGCTGTCAGAAGAGAATGACTGGATTTACTCTCTGTTTCTGCTTCACACAAGCAGCAAAGGAGGAGTCACATGCAGCACAGTATGAGGTGTATTTATTTGTACTGTGAAAATATAGGATTATTCCCTCAGCCATCAGGCATTGCCTTGTGTCACATGAAGCATAGAAGCTTTGTTGTGGCAGTGAACAAGCTGAAGTGACCATTGCTGCATTCCTGGGATCCCAAACGACCTGTGACATTCATGTAGCTCCTGGGCCATAACAACCTCAGCTTCCTCTTCCTCTAAAACAAGAGGAGTTTAGGAAAAGAGGATAACATTTCAGTCAGTTTTAGCAATAGAACCAATCACTAACTAAATGAATGTGGTTATTTCCCATCATCTTGGCTGAAAATAAATTTGAAGTGCCTGCTTAGACCATGTAACTCCTCTGAAGCAGTCATAGCACAGCATTTTCCAAGGACAGAGACTGTTGTGGACTACTTTCAGCTCTAAACATAAGCAGCTGTAGTTCCATTGAAATTGGAGAAGTTGTATAGTTGTACAAAGGTGCAATTTGATTCCTAGGTGGGGATTTAAATTTTTCCAAAGCGGGGATGTTATATTTCTTCTGTGACATTTGCAGCTCAATAGAACAGCCTTGCTCATATTGAATAGGAGGGAAAATCAGAATAATGGGGTTTTTTCCCCCAGTGAAATTCACATTTGGTTGGTTTGTTTGTTTGTTTTTTCCTTCATGCTCCATTCTCAGAAGTACTTTGAGTTAATTGCTTCACATCTATATCACTTCCATTACAACCATGTGTGCCTGGTTTTACTGGAGCCAGGGGCTGGGCCTGTGTTTGAGGATTAAGTAGCCTGTGCTGAGCTCTGTGCTGCTGTGACTGCAGCAGCGCCCAAACAAGGCGGTTTCAAACTGCCAGGGGTATATTTGCAATGTGCCTGAAGTTTGGAGGTACGTGAAGCAGTGTGTTCAAAGCTTAGCTTTGAAACTCCTTTCTTAACCAAAAGCATATGCTCAGCTTTAATTGTTGAGCTCTTAGCTCCTCCCTGATATTCTCTCCTACCAGGGAGACCAGACTGGTTTCCTAGAGAACTTTCTATGGCATGTTTTTTGCTTGAGTCTGACTAACAGTAGCATAGCTACAGTGCAGTACAGTTTCTGTTTTCACTTTCAGTAGCCCAGGTTTTGGTTTTTTTTTTTTTTTTGTTTGTTTGTTTGTTTGTTTGTTTGTTTGTTTGTTTGTTTGTTTGTTTGTTTGTTTGTTTGTTTGTTTGTTTGTTTGTTTTTAACTTTCTCCAGATTCCTCATGTGGCTGCTCAAGAGAATGACATTTCTCTCTTCAGCATGCTCAGAGGAAACATGAATTCAGATGGCAGAATCTTTGTGTTGAGACAGGCTGGGAGCTGAACAAATATCTTGAGACCTGGATCACTTTTGATGCTTTGCCTCATGCAGGAAAGGGCTGCAGCTCTCATCTGTCAGTATGATGGCGAGTTCTCCAGAGGAAACATGTTCCAGACAGAAAAAAATAACTGAAAACTTCTTCATCCTGGAACTGACTATGCCACTGCTGTGCTGATCAAGAAAAAAGATGTGGAAAAAAATTCTTTCCTCACCTCCCCTACTTCTTTGGTAGTGAAATTCCATTTCTTTCAGAGAAGGAATTTTTTATTTAAATCTGTATCTTTAAGAAACAAGTCAGACTTGTTAGCTATGTGATTTAGTTTACTCATCTGTAAAACTGACAACATGTTTCATCCTTGGCTGAAGGGAAGTAATTTATAATATAAGTGAAGAAAAAAAAGTTTGTTGAAAGAACGATTGTTTCTGAGAAGCTGGTTATTAAATATAATCTGTTTTAAGTAAAATCCTTGGTGTGGCAGAAGGCTTTGTTGCACTGACTAACACATTTTTATGGACGTTCCAACTTTGAAGCCTCCTATGAAGTTACTGGCCTTAAGCCTGTGCTACAGGAATATTGTGTTGCTTGTGTTAGTGCTGTCAAAGACAGGTGGTGATTTTGTTTTTACTGATTGTGTTGGACTATAATGGCAGCATTTGGTAGCCCAGTGGGACTTTACCATTTATGCCAGGATAAGGTTTTCCCCCCTGAGATCTTTGGTCCGTCCTAGTGAAGTTAGAGAATTTGTAACTGTGTGGTACAGTCGAGCCTGTCTCTGTGGATACCAAGGGTGAGCTTAGTCAGTGATTTAGCACCAGAGCCAGGCTGACATCATGCCTGTGTTATGGAAACAATGAGGTCGTTGGAATGATTTGCTAATTTGGCTGATGCCTCTGTTGTAGGTGTCTGTATTTGTTGCTGTATGGAACACAGCCCCAGATTGTGCCCTGTTCCTGAGCCAGGACATGAACCACTCTGCAGGTTTTTCCAGATGCCTTTTCTGTGATTCTTGTGATTGTACTGCACTTGTGAGCACTAATTGATATTTCTAATAGAGAAAACTTTTCCAAGTCAAAATAAATTCCATGAGAAAGGGCTCAGTATTTGACCTGTTTATTAAGAAGACCTAGCTTGGTCTGGAATTATCATTAAATCCATCACACAGTCTGCACATTTCCCATCTCCATTCTCTATGCTAAAATCACCATAGAAGGGTATTTTGTCCTGCCTTGATAGTGTAGACAAGGCAGTGCAGGCCGGTGATGGAGTAGGTGGGGAATATTTATTGCAACAGGAGCATTTGAAAGATGTGAAAAGGGTAAGTAAAATGGGAAAGGTTATTTTTGGCTGAGAAAGGAAACTTCTTGAGCCACATCTTCCTGTAGTATTGTCAAGACAAATGCTTCATGTTTTGTTTTGTCATTTTATTTTCCAGGAGTAGTTCTGCTGGTTGCTGCCATGCTCCACAGGAGGAACTCAAAGCTCTGGCTAGGATTTTTTTGCAGGTGTGTTGCCTTCCTGGTGGTGTTGGCTCCTTTCCTGGGAATGTAGCATGTTTTTCCCCTGCAGTAGATATTTTGTGACTTGAATTAATAATTTAATTTCACTGTCCTTCAGAGGCATAATTAGTAACTCACATTTACTTTTGCCTGTTCAATGCTTATAAAATGCTCAGTTTTATTCCTGGAATGTTCTCTCATGTGAGGATAAGGCTCTTTTCTGAAGAAATTTGCAACTAAAATGCTCTTGACCAGTAGTCTTTAAACGTTGTGTTTGCTGTGGAAGGTGTAATTTTCTTCTTTGTAATTGTAAATGCTTCAGCACCACTGAAAATCTAATTAACCTTATAAAAGGAAGAGCACACTGATATTTGCAGGGAGAATGAAGAATGTAGGACAGAGATAAGCTGAGAAAGTAAAGGATAATATTTAGTTGCAGCCATGGTAATGATCACGGGGACACTCTTGTTTCAGAAGCTCTGTGACACACACAGTCCCTGTGAATAAATTGCTTTTATTCTACATGCAGCTCATTTCTCCCTGAAACTGCACCGAGCCAGCCCCTTGAGGCAGCGTTAGGATATTGCATTTCAGAGAAGCTGGTTTTCAGGCAAAATTTGAAATCTAGGGCCTCACAATGTACTTCAGCATTTTGATGGAAACACTATTGGCCTTACATTGTGGCTGTGTTTTTAATTCCTTCAGAGTTTTAGCTGGCTACCTTCAGCTGACAGATGACCCAAGGGAATGGCTTGAAGCTGTGTCAGGAGAGGGTTAGGTTGGATAATAGGAAAAAGTTCTTCACCCAGAGGGTGTCTGGGCACTGAACAAGCTCCCTATGGAAGTGGTCACAGCGCCAAGCCTGACAGAGTTCAAGAGGCATTTGGACAATGATCTAGGTGGGAATGCTGGGGTGTCCTGTTCAGGGCGAGGAGTTGGACTTGGATGATCCTTGTGGGTCCCTTTGAACTCAGGATATTCTGTGATTCTTTCAACATTCACCTTATTTTGCTATAACAGTCCTTCTCTGTGTGACAATGGGATACAGCATCCTTGCAGAGCTGGTAAATATTGGAGTGTGAAGGAGCTGATTGAGTGGTTTGAGATGCTGAGACAGCAGAGTAGGTTAAGGGCAGTATTTTCCCCTGTACTGATAAGGGGATGTTGATTTCTAGTGTACGTTTTTACATTTGTACTATATATGTGTATGTATATACATGTAAATATATACAGTTCTTTAAATAGGAAGGATCATTCCCCACCCCAAAATTCCAAACCTGGCCTGTGAAATTAATATAGCTGAAATACTTTATTGAGATCTAAGAACGCCAAGCCTGGATGAAATGCAGACTTTGAGGAGCTTTTAAAGTGTACCAAGGAAGATGGATATAAAAATATTGAATCATGTTGTTTTGGTGCTTTTGTGTCGATTATGCAGAATTCTACAGTCATTGCATCCTGGTGGAGAACGCAGGGATTCCTGTTACACTGCTAGCACATAGAAAAATTCCTGGAGGAATGCCACAGGTTGCTGCTCTGCATCTGCTCAGAGAATCAACTGTGCCCAAAGCCATCAATTTCCCCCAGCAGTTCAATGCACAGGAAAACTACCTGGAACTTGTATGTTGCAGTAAGTCATTGAGAACTTGGGGGTTTGTGTTCATCCTAACACAGACATGTGATGGCAGCTGTGAAAATAAGTGCAGTTCCCCGGAGGCAAAGCAGTGCTATGTTTGTGCTGCAGCAGCCTGGGCCAGAGGAAGGTGAGAGAAACCACAGTGGGACAGGTGAGGCACCAAAAATGCCTTTATCTTACCTGTGGCCTTTTGGACAAACTCCAGTTGTATCAACCCACAGCATCAGACAAAGCTGCTTTTAAGAACACTGATGCAAAAATGAGATCTTGGGTGATCATTTCTGGTTCAAGTAGCGGTTTATATATTTATTATAATTATACACAACCTTGACAATCTGTATTGCCATTCAAAAATAAATCCAAGTCTTGTCAATTTGCACATGATCTGTCACTACTAAGGATCCCATTTACATACATGGTAAACATTTTCCATACTTAAACACCACTTTAAATTCTGACGCTCCCATCTCCTCCCCCCTCATCCCCTGGAGTTATGGTTATCGACTATGGAAAGAAACTTTTCCAACCACTGCAACATTCAGGGACTACCATCTTTTTTGATCAACTTAATTAAACTATTTCAACACTTGGTAGAGGTGGCTGGTGGGTATAGCTCTTAATTGCATTTTTAAAATTATTCTTGATGGATTTCATTGCAATGATTCCTGGTTTTCATTGCATGACGCATTTCCTTCTGACCAGGAAAGAAGGAAACCAAAGTTTAGCAGCTGTATTAAGTAAGTCACATCAAGCACATTCCTGGTTTAGTATTTTGCAGTGCCAACAGTCACATTTAGTTGTTTTCACTATTATTTACATGTGTAGTAAGTGGTTGAAGTCTTCAAATTTCAACTGCAGAAAATTAAGAATTCAGCTAGGAGTCAGCCACCACACACTTTCTGTAGCTACTAGGAGCTTGTGTTCATACTCCAACTGCTATCTTGGGAGCTGAAATTAAAATTTATGAGGCATTAACGCCTTTTGTTAAGCAACATGTTTTTTACCATCTCTTTTGAGAGTTTCTGTCTCCTGGTGCCTGAAAGATGAGAAAACCTAAAAGTAGCAGAAGTGTAAGAGGCAAAAGAATATTCCTCCATCCAGTTAATAAACTCACAGCTAGTGGCAATTAATATAATAATCCTTAGAGCAGGCAGACCTTCTACCAGCCCACAACTCAAGTTTGGGCATCTGAGCATCACTTGAGAAGGGCTCCCAGAAGTGTGGAAGTATTACAGTGTGATTACACAGCAGCGTGAAGTCCTATTTTGAGGAATGGGGTTCATGATGGCACTGATCTGTGGGAATTGAATTTAGCTTCTTTTCCTACAGCAGCTGGGCAGGTGCTTTGAACCAGCAAATGCAGCGTGTTTGCAACACAGCTTCGTGTTTTGGATGCTAGCACTGGTTAACTGACAGGCATGGAAAACCAGAGCTCTGACAAGTGTAGATTCCAAGTTTTGTTAAGGCTGTTAATTTTTCACACTGGTGTCAAAAAATAATTGGGAAGAAAACCCTTCTGCCAGCTCCTTGCTTGTTTCCTGAAATTACATTTAAACAATCCTTACAGGAAAACCCCCACTTAAATATGGAGTATTTGAGAACTGTTATTAGCAATCTGCAGGAGAGATTGGAGTTCAGCACACAGAGATGTTGCAAAATATTAAGGAATTTTAAATGTTGAAGATACAAAGAAATCTCATCAACACACAGATTGGATGCTTTACCTTAACAGCTTCCACTTGTAGGTGGAAGAAGCAAAACCTCAATCCCTCACACCACAAGGCGTCCAGAACGCTGGAGCTACATCGCAGATACTGCACTGCCCCTCCTGTGCTGCCGTGCCAGAGACAGGGCACCTTCCCCCTCACTCTGCCCCGGGGCCTTGGCAGGGAATACAGGTTGTGGAATACAGGTTGGGTGTTTCCCAACTGCCTCTGTGCATTCAGGATCAGCTGCTCACTGTTCTGCAAGCATGCCCCAAAGGCAGCACTGAAACAGTGCAAGGACACTGCCAGAAGCCAGCAAGGGAGAGGAGTCTTCGTTCAAACTGAGACATTCAAAATCAAATCTTTCATTCAAAATCAAAGGGTATTTTGTCATGAAGCAGCAGCTTCAAGAAAGAAGAGCATAAAATCCTAACTTGAGTGTTACAAATCTGTTTATGTTACATTTGAAGTTCAAAGAAACTTCTTGGAGTCTAAAGTACCGTAATAAAAAAAGTGGAAAGGAACTTATGAATCAGTTCTAAACTAAACTCAGTTTAGTAAAGAAAATTAAAACAAATTAATTTTGAAGTCCTTTCTTGAACAAGTCCATTAATGCTCCAGACAGAAGAGAATGAGTCTTCTTTAAAGGGAAGAAGGAAGATCTTCCTGGTTTCTAACTAGATCTTTACACCAAACTTCAGAACCTGATTTACAGAACTTTTTTAAACGATCTCTACTGCCTTGACAAATACAGTGTTGCTTCCTTTTTTTCTTTTTGTGGGGCAGAGGGTATATTTTCAAATATCAGAAATGTAACTTGCCCTAAGCAGAAAGTTTCAAGTAAGACATTATCAACCTGCTGTTATAATATACAAGAGGCAGAGCAGCAGACTGCTGCTGGTTCCCTACCAAAACTTTATGTTGCAAAGACACTCACTCTGGTGCTGTCAGGATAGGCAGAGGGAACTTGCTCATTGAGTCTGACACACAAAACCTCAAGCTGAGCATAGTGTGTAAGTACTTAAATCTGTCCTGGTAAAATCTCCTCTTTGTAACAGGAAACAGATTACATATGAGCAAATCATATATTAATGTGAACCTCTGTGGAAAAATTAACTCTGCCATTCCAAATGGCATGCCTAACATGGACCTCAGAGCTAGCTTCTGTGGGCAGCATTCCTCTTCAGCAGGGATCTAGAGACAGACCAGATGCACTGCAGAAAACTCCCTACTCTAGTAAGAAAACTTGACTACAACTGTTTGTCGGAACTGTATCTGCTTTTAAGCATGCAAAATTATTCTAGCCTTTATCCTAAGCACTGCCTCAAACATTTGTGATGTGGTATTAATCATCTGATGTCCATAAGCAGAGGACACTGTTCTTGCACATGACTCTTTAGCTACTGGAGAGCTGACACTGGAGATTTCTGCAGTTTTGTGCTCTTCTGCCACAGGTACCAAGAAGTTTACCTAGAGAAATTATTGTGTAGCTGGATTTCAGGAAGCCAGTACTTGAGAATGCTGCTCATTGCACTGCTGTGGTAAAAGCCATTAGGATATAAATGGTGTTGAAGCCTACAAGACCCAAGCTAGCCCAGCCTGACTGAAAGGACAGCTGATGCTGCAGTACAGTCCCCCTCAGCACCAGAGGTGTGACTACTGTGGCAGAACTAGAGACTGAGGTTGCAGGGGAGCTGCTGAACAGCTCTCCTCAAAGTCACTCAGTTTTTGTTCAAGGTTATTAAACATGTGAACTTACAGGACCATCCACACTGACTGCATGAAGAGGAACAAGAACAAAGTACATGCATGTCAGTCACCTGATGGCAGTCATGAAGATAGAATTCCAGCACTTGAACTAGACTGGCAGATAGATTTATGTACAATCATGAATGTTGCTTCCTTTTTCTGTGAAGGTACGGGAGAGTTGAATTCACCTCTCCCAGAGGTCATGAGTTACTTTTCATAGCATGAACAGTGGTAGAAGATGAAGGGCACAGCTGCAGATAAAATGGATGCCAAAGCCAGAAACAAGATTGTGGTTCTTCACTTGTTTACAACAGCAATACATCCTATAGGAGAACTGCTGTAGGAGGGCCTGGTTAACATATGAATTTGTTTCTGGGACAGAGTTCAAGTTACTGAAGCATTACACTGCAACTTATTTTCTTATGCTAGGTAAAGAAACCACTTTTGATAGTTAAGACTAGCCCATTCCCACTCTGGTAACAATAGAGTTTTGAAGTCAATAGTGACTGGCTTTAGCAAGTGCTGCAGCACCTCAGTGACTGACAGAAGCATTTGGAATATATCTGGGACATAGACTGGACCTTGACAACGTTTAAGACATATCAAAGGAAACAGTGATTCTACTGTGTAACACATTGTAGACACTTTCATTAGAGAGCTAAATGACCACAGCTAAGTGGTAAGCTATGCAAGTTCATCAGGTAGATTCCACCTTTGGGGTAATAATGTCCAGTTTTTAAGCTCTTTTGTTTTGGTCCTTGACCAAAAAATTTACATGCTGAGCATCAAGGCTTAAATAAGCTCTCAGCATTTCTTTCAAGTTTGGACCAAACAGCATTTAAGCCACCTCAAAATCAGGGTGGTGATACGCAGTTTGCACAGCACTGTTTCTGTTGTTCCTCCTCCCCAGGATGAGATACGATCAGATGTAAACTGAAATCAAAACAAAGTGTTAATAGTTCCATGTGCAATAAGACATTTTCAAGGGAAAGCTACGCAGCAGGCCTTGAATGTTCTCCCCTCTCATCCTGTTCTCACCAGCATCACCCTGTCCCAAGCACAGCAGGGTATGTACAGCAATGTGCAGAGACCAGGGATTCCAGCACACAGCAGAGCCATGGTGCTGGAGCAGTTTGCACAATTTGCAGTGAAGACTGGTAGTGGTATGGGAGCCCAAAAAATGCTTAAGCTCGGATTATTCAGTTCCTATGAAAAAGACCGTACAATTCTCATGGTACATCAACAAGATGGACTGGTATGCCAACTAACCTCTAATTTTAATATTTAAATTATAACAATACAATAACTAGAAAAGGTCAGTGCTTCAAGTGACAGGTTTTGCCACTTCAATTCCAATATTTTTCCAAAATAAAGATGCGATTAGATCTACACTTGAGCATCAGTAGTGCAATACAGTATCCTTTCCTGAATAAAGGAGCTGAGGTTTATCCACAATAAAAGCTTTAAATAAGGTAGATTGTTGCCATTTATATATCAATTCTGTATGTTTGATATAAAATATATTGGGAAAGCTTCAACTGACTTATACAATCTACATTTGGCTAAAGCTCCACATAAGCAGCATCAGTGGAAATTAACATCAGAGGTGTACTTAATATAAAACACTTTCAAAACTACTCAGCAACAAATGACAGAAGTTTGGCTAAGAGTAACTGAACATCTGAGGTGTGTACCAGACAAAAAGAATGGACCCTGTGGTTACTTGCACTATTTTAATGAAGTAAAAGAAATGCAAGGTTTAGTCCACTTCCATTTCTCCAGGGGGTTTGGTCTGCTGAGGGTTGTCCTTGGCTGGTTCGGGTTTGGTGTCAGCAGCGCTCTGTCCGTTCACCGGCCCGTTGTGCTCCCCGTTAGCTTTGGCCTGCCCGTCACTGGGAGGTTCTATCTTCGGCTTGGG